TGTCAACAGTCTGTTAAGTTTGATTTGTTATTATTGCATATTTAATGAAGGCATTTGCATAATCTCCCTGCTTTCTCTATTGCTGTGCTGCTAAATTATGTTTCATGTCACATTGGGCCATTCCAGTTTATATCTGCACCCCTCTGGATTACCAGGGCATTTAGTCGCTCAATTCACCTTACCTTATTGATATGCAGATTTCAAACTACTTTAACCACAGGTCATTGGTAGTTCACTGGTTAAACCCTTTTGCTTTATATTCATGCATAACACATGTTAGTACATTTGAGCTTCTTATTTTTGCAAATCTAATGAAATATCATGTGTTCTGTTTTATAGCAGAGATGCATGTATCGATGGATTTACTCTTAGTTATAGTAATTTTATTAACACATAACAACCCTTGGAAGGTATGAAAAGGTTAGAATTGAAATGAATAAAAAAAAGTGTACAATTAAGGTGTGTGTTGCTGTCTATGTGGCATACATATTGATATGAACTGGTTCCGTATTGACATGTCATGCTTGCCCATAAGGAATTCAGATTTATTTTGAATTGAATATTTATTCTTCACATTTGGTGCAGTGTTCAATTACATTGCCATCACAGTGTTCTCAGGTCTGTTCAATAACAGGCACATTTAAGAAAAAGTGCATGAGCTTACATAAATACAGTGAATTTTGCTTTAAATATTATATTTTGAGTTTGGATGCATACTTGTGTATGACAGGTGTGTGAGATCATACTATCATCTTGTAGTTACGACCTTTGCCTATGTTGTTTGTTTTAACGAGTCTGAATTTTTACTTTTTATAAAGTGAAAACACCTGGCTGTGCTCTCTGACCAGATCTGTTGTCAAACATATTCACTAGTCATCATGCATTTAAATGGAAACAAACAATATTGTATATACTTTGTATGTGCATGGGACAAGTATCTAGTATGACACTATGTAGAGACTGTGGCACATACACTTCAATATTCTGCATGTGTGTAACTGTTTTTTTTGGTGCAAAATCCAAAGTACAATTCGAACTAATTCCATATAGGAATCTTTTTTTTTTCATATAGGTACTCCTTCATTATGTATGTGTACCCTTGCTTCCACTTAATCTATCAGTATGTATACATTTTTTTTTTGAACTTCCACTAACTGCAATCCATGTACATGTACGTGTACACGCATGCTGATGGTCATTCCTAGTAAAATATTGATTTGTGCCTCCGAAAACATCATTGTTAATAGCATTGCAGATGACTATTGGGAATAAGCCTTGTAGAATGGGTTGTCATCAGTGAAATTTGTAATCTGCGAGTATCCTTCTGTACATACCTTCTGGTGTAGTAAAACTGTATCACATGATATCGGTGTCTGAGTTGGTACATTGCACTTCACAGTGATAAATTTCACTTGAAAGGAAACTTACTATCAGCTGCTTTTGAGTCGTCCCCAGAGAGTTTCTTTTAAATTCATTACCGGTAACTATGATCTTAAATGATCATGACCTTTACGGGTACTTTGATGTCAAGGTACAATGTACTATACTGGTAAATCCAAACATTAACTAACGTAACTGAGTTGGTTTTAATAGAAAATAAAAAGCAAAATTGGAAAAAAGAAATGACTTGCAATTCTTACTTTTGTATACCTGAATCAAGCACTATATCTTGGTCCTTAATTTTCAATTTATAAAACCAAACTGAGCATCTAATGTTCATTTTGCTTTTTAACATGAATGAACAGATGAACAGAGCAATTTCATTCAGACTTTGTATGAGGATCATACATATTCAAGTTAGGTTACATGTGCACATCACATGTTTTTGAGGTTCAAACAAAATTGGTCGATTGGTGGCCATTTTGTTTTTATTCATTTTTATTCTGATTCCTCACCTGTGTATTATTTTGTGATTTGATCAAATTTGTTGAAATGATAATCATTTTGTCTAAAATCCACAAATCTCAGTCTGTAAGGTGTTCGAAATCATTTCAGATAATATTTTCTGATTTTTGCTTTTTATTATTTTTTGTCATTACATATGATAAAAAAGTACAAAATTGTAAAAGGATGTTATGAAATAGTTAGCTCATAAAACATTTTACAAAATGCAATGGATACCCACTTATCCAGTAATTTCATGCAATTATATTACACTACTAGGAAATGTCAGCTGAATAAAAAGGTGGGCAGTATTCAATATTTGCAAGAATGATCATATCAGATCTATATATCCAAGATGGAGGTCACTCGTTTTTTCCCCGAGCATAAATGTGAAATTAATACTGATTGACAATCTAGGCATCCGCTACCCCTTTGGCAATTGTTAATGCTGAATTACAATGTACATTTATTTTTTATTATGAACTGAGGACTTTTTTTAAACCATGAATTTCTGAGAAACTAGTTGTTATTTAAAATGTCATCACCAACAGAAAAGTAAATTAAATTGGGAAAAGTATTGCTTAATATAAAGTGTATGTAATATGAATATACCGGTAGTACTACCGGTAGTGGGTATATTATAATTTTTCTCATGAATCTGAAAAACATTTTTATAATGCTATCTCGTCCAGTCCATCTAGGTAGCGGCTGAACAAATTTGTAATTTGCTAAGAAAAACAAACTACTGCTGCATCCTTAGCTGAAGCGCACACATACTGTTTAAATAGATCATTGAAATGATGTATAAAACATTTTCCAGCCTAGTGAGCAGAACAAAATAAAACCTGGTGGGAACACTGGAGACACAAAGTGGTTTTCCTGTATATTGGTTCATTTAAAATTGACATCGCTACACATGCATTTACTCGTCTGTGTATGTATACACATTATATTATACGATTATATTCCATTTACCCAGGCATGTCTATTCTACATTACACTAACCAAATAAAATCTGTGCAATGGTATTTGCACTAACTTTCCTACTGTTGTAATCAAATTAAAAGCAAAATACAAGTTTCCTTTACTATAGTATTTTGTGCTTACTAGTCACATATCCCTCCTTGGTTATTGACTTCTTCCTGTGCCAGATCATGTGATATTATCATCCCACTCTCGCCTGATTGCCAATTTATGTTATTTGCCGTTTTAACTGGAATGGGTGGCAATTCATCAGCCACCTCCAAAGTAAATCAAATTTTGTGAGTATCGGAATAGAATCTGAGTCAACTCCACCACTTAGGGAATTCCCTCAGATTCCATCTGTAATGTTGTATATTCTAGATTAAATGTTCTATGCTTTTAGTCTTAAAAACTGCAATGTGTATACCACTATTTTAACTGGAAGTATGCTGGTTCTCTATTGAAAATATTTTAATTAATTGTCATCGTGCTCTACTATGTATGCATACACTACTCTTATGTGCAGCTACTCTGTATAGTACACAATGCATGTAGCAATTTGAATGCATAGAATGATACTGTAAAATACTTTATTTTAGCTGGAATTAATTTTCGCTGATTTTTGACAAGGTTTACATAAAATATAGGTAAACAGGTATATTCACTGGGTTTTATTTTCACTGAATTATTCCTTCAGCGAAAATAGCGACAATTCCAAGCGAAATTAAGTATTTTACAGGAGTTTATCTAAATGTACAAGCAAATTATTGTTACATGTACAGGCTTTTGTTTGTTTTATATACCATTCTAGACTTATCAGTAATTATAAAAACAGATTACTAAACTTTGTATTGTCACATGGTGAATGCTATAACTACCAACAGACTTATCAGTAATTGGTTTATACCATTCTAATAACAGATTACTAAACTTTGTATTGTCACATGGAGAATGCTATAAATACCAACAGATTTATCAGTAATTGGTTTATACCATTCTAATAACAGATTACTAAACTTTGTATTGTCACATGGAGAATGCTATAAATACCAACAGACTTATAAGTAATTGGTTTATACCATTCTAATAACAGATTACTAAACTTTGTATTGTCACATGGAGAATGCTATAAATACCAACAGACTTATCAGTAATTGGTTTATACCATTCTAATAACAGATTACTAAACTTTTTATTGTCACATGGTGAAGATTTATTTTTTCAATAATTTGTTTCATGTCATCTGATTACTTTGGACATGAAGTACATGTACCTGTGCAATGAAATTTAATCATTAGGGGGGAGCATGTGATTACAATTAGATTGGATAAAAACTGTTTGCACTGTAACTCCATGTAAACAAATGTAGATTTGATACACAAGTCCTACAAATGGGTTAAGACAGTATCTGCCATTTCAGGGCGAGAAAGAACGACAAAGATAAAAACCATTGAGTCTAAAAATCCAAGTAAACACAGATTTTAAAGCTTTTTGATTCTATACCTGTTAAGTGTAAAGCAGTGTTTGTTCATACTCAACCCTGTACTGTCAAAGTATTGATGCATTGACCTCTGCATGAGTAATCTGTTTGTTTTTTTTTATTATTTTAACAAGATATAGTGATTGTAATTAGTTTTGGATGCCGTCCAAGTGAAGATGTTTTTGAAATATGAACAGGAAGTTCTTAAAGTTTGACATGCTCTGCACTTAATGCATCCTCTCTCCCTGTAGACTGACTTGTAAATGGAGTTGAAGGCTGCGCACGAAGTCGCGGTTGTTGTGTGCCAGTAATTCTCCTGTAATAATGTTCTGTCTTCTGGAGTGTCTCAACGAGTACAAATAACATGTACCATGCATGTATATAGTGCCATAAAATATATGTAGCCTGTTATATCATTTACATTGTCATTAAATTAACTCGCCTCAATGTACATATTAGTTAAAGGGAAGAGGTTGCCCTGCCAGGTTTTGAGTTCCATAGCACATGTAAAATACATTGTTCGCAATAATATTTGAGCGTTCACTGTGTGACAACCATTGCCCTTCAAGTACATGTATGCTGGGATGAAAAAAAAAAAAGCGTTTTGTGTAATTGAATCACCTTTTTTATATTATTTAATTTGTGAAATATTTCCTTGACTGCGAATACATAGATTTGGACAGCCCGGTGTTGATTGTCATGTACGCCATGATGAAGATGTAGCGGTCTTGCAACTGATTTTCCTTGTCAATGAGGTAGGTGTTACTTTCATGTACGATGATATGTGATCTCGTGAGAATTGAACTCCGGTTGTAAATGGCAGCATTTGGAAGCGATGTAGATCCTGTTCCTTGTGTACAGCAAACATATTTCAACCAATAGCTTCACATAATCAGTAGGTGCTTGAAAAGGTTCAATTGCTGAAACAGGAATAACAGGTTATTACTGTATTAAAAATAATGCAAAAAGCACTTAATACACTTTCAACAATGAGTTGATATGAATACTACTCAGTTCTAACAAAGACTTACTAATTTGCATGAGGTGGTTTTGTGATCTTCTTGAAATTCACATGTTCTCTCCAATTTGTATGAGATTTACCTCACATATATCATTCTCTTACTCATTATTTGAAAATTTACTATCTCTCTCACAATTTCTACACATGGTACCATGCAATACATTTTGGAGTCACATGAAGCTTGTTTGTGAAAACTGTCCAGAGTTGATCATGACTGGAAAATGTAAACCTTTTCTATAAATAGCGCCCTCTATTGGTAAAGAACTTCAATAGCCATACATGTATATAATTACCATAAATGGTTGAAAAACATAGTATCACAGTGACAACTCAATGTTTGTTCATTATTCAGAATTTATAGTCAATGTTTTGCAAACATTTATTGTTATTGCTGGACGATTACAGATCAAAACAAATCCCTCTCACACATCTGCATCCTGGCAACACTTGAAGCTAGTGGGAAATATCTCTGCCAGTAAAAAAATTACAACCAACTCCAAACTATTTTAGAGCAGATTTGAGATATTCATGAATATATTTCACTGTCGTCCAATAATTCTTGGTCTAGTAGCTATAATTCATCTGTCGACATTTTTGTTTTGCCAACATTATGACTCAGACTTTTGGAAACATATCAGTTTTGTGTGTTGCCTATTAACTACATTACCATGTGTGTTGCATAATATGTAAAGTTTAAAACAAAGATTAAAAATCTGTACTTGGACAACACAAAATCGTCAATCTTTCTGATTTTTGTTTATTGACCAAATATTTTTCATATTTTGTACATTTTTGGGGGTGGGTGGGTGGGTGATTGGCTCGACTCTTAATTTTGCGTACAAAAATAGCTTTAAGTATTTTATAACACATGAAACTGTTAGTCATTTACTCAAACATTAAACAAAAATTAAAAGTTTCACGAAAGATTTTTTGAACAAAACTGTTAATTTCAACTCAAAACAATACAGACTTACATTACAGTACTGACCAAATGTATTGTTTCCTACTCAGGGTGCTTTAGTCAGTGTATGTGCAGACGATAGCCTGCATTTATGGAATTTAAGGCAGAAGAAGCCAGCAATATTGCATTCACTTAAGTTTAATAGAGAAAGGTATGTGCAGACATTGTTATATGTATAAGTAACATATGGCATCCTAAAGTAATGATTTGGCCAGTGACCGTATTATAGGTTACACTGTCATGCTTTAATAGCCTTATTTTTTTTGCGTGTGTAACATAAGGCATTCTAGGTTATGATTTGGCCAGTGACCGTATTATAGGTTATAGCTCCATGCTTAATAGCTTTCAACTGAAATCAATGCACGTTTCAGTAATAAGCCCGATTTCATTTATTTATGAAATAAATAAATAATGCGCCAACATATGGTCTTCACATCTACTGCCATTCCTCCTATGTTTGCTAAAGAACAATAATCTTTGTCAGTTTTTTTGCATGGTTAGTATTTAATAGATCAGTTTGCAGACTGTTACCACACTTGTCAAATATGAGCTTTGACAATTTATTGGGAGACCTTGCCATTCTGTATTTTTGCTTATTGGTTATTTACGATTTATTTGAAAATTGAATTGTTTAGCAGCGTGTACTATATAACAGTCAATATGATATTAATTTTATTATGATGGGTTACCTACCCGCCATCTACTTAATCCTTGTGTGCCCTTAACATGAGCTGTATTTTTTCATATTTATTTTACTCTTGTAATACTGTGCTAAAAAGATCTCCGCTTCTCCAGATAAATACACACAGATCTAGCATGATTGTTCACGTGTACCGTATTCACTCTATTAGAAACACATTTCTAATAGAAACACACTTACACCTAATATTTTCATGGTCTAGTCTCTGTGTGTTTGTCCAGACTTGTATCTTGAATATCCCTGGACCAGTTCTCCTCAAAGTTTACACATAGCTATTACCTAACTAATACTTGGTACATATCCACATGCATTTACTTCGTAATCCAGTCTGCCACTCCTTTTTAGCTCCGCTGTCGAATTTGTCGAGCGGAGCTTATCATATGAGTGATTGTCCGTCGTCGTCCGTGTCAATGTTTTACTTTTTCGACTTCTTCTTGAAAACTACAAGCCTGAATGCTTTAATACTTGGTGTATATGTACCTTGGGTAGACCTCTCTTAGGTTTGTTCATTTCATGTCGATATCTTCAATTCTCTAATTTTGGTGAATATTTTTGTCATTTTTGGTAAAAAGTGATATTTTCGACTTCTTGTTAAAAACCACAAGTCCATTTGCTTTGATATTACATATATAGGTACTACATGTGGACCTCTCTCAGATTTGTTCATTTTGTAATGATATCTTTAATTCTCTAATTTTGATGAATAATTTTGTAATTGGTAAATTGGTAAAAAGTGATATTTTTGAATTCTTGTTGAAAACAGCAAGTCCCATTGCTTGATACTATACATATTGTTCATTTTCTAATGATATCTTCTGTTCTTTAATTGACATGTGCATTGCTAACAGCGGAGCTATCTCAGCCGAGAGGCTGCTTGTTGATCTATAAATGCACTGAAAATGGACTTTTTTTTTTCGGCCACACTTGTTTCAAATCTGGTATGAATGTATGTATGTCTAATTATTGTGTATTTTTAATTAAAGAGGCTGACTGGCAGCCATATTTGATCTCAAAATAACCTAAAAATCTACATTTTAATTTTATACAAGTTCAAACTTGGAATATTGGTAACACCTGATGGCATACGGTACTTAATTTTTCAAGATCTCTTTCAAATTTTTAATTTGATGTGATCCAGCACCTCAATGAAAGCTGATCTGTGTTATGAGGTAATGCAAAATGGTGAAAATTGAAAGATTCTGCTTGTAATCAAAATTAACAATTAGGTCCAAACTTTGTACACAGACAAGTATATTTTAGCATATCAACAAAAGTTGTGTCACTATCCATTCTAAAATGGTGGATTGGAAACCATTTTGTTTTACATAGACATAAGAGACTTGCTGTATGTTGTCAGGCAGGCAGGCAGTCAGTCAGGCAGGCAGTCAGTCAGTCAAAGACATTCAGTTCACAGCGTAGAAAGCCACTTTTGCATGTTATCAAGTGCAAGAACAGAGGAGATTTTGACATTCTCAATGGCTTGACATACTACTGGAAGTCTCCAATAGAAGCGTACCTAAAACAAAGATTACATTCATTGTATACTCTAATGTTAAAATATGAATTATTTTGAGCCATAGTCAAACCTTTGATATGGACATTAACACTTGCACTTCTAACGGCAAATATGGTACGACTTATTTTTACCGTACACACTTTTCATTTACGTATTAAGCTAGAAGCCCAAGTACAGGATGGCTGGAGGGTTAATTTAGTTCTAGCTACTTGCCTACTATTATGACATCTTACACCTTGATTTTTTTATTTTCCTGCCATAAAGGTCATTTATGAAGTATTTATCATAAGAAATAAAAATTTGGAAAAAAAAAAATGCAGCTTTGCCTTTAATCATTTCACTTGTTCATTGACCAGAATAATAATATTGTTTCTATGTATTTGTATGTAGTATCGGTTCATAAGTGCATATTGTTTATTTGTGCTATACTTGTACATGCAGTGTACAAACTGTTTATTGAGCGCTTATTCTTGGTAGTGAGCGTCTAGGCGTTTTCACTGCCTGACACAGTCACCACAGTCGATGAAAACAAAAAAATCAACAACAAAAACTGTACTTGAGGCTAGTTGTTGAGACTCTTGTGAACATTGTAATAATAACCCCAGGGTACATGTGCAACATATATAAATTTGGTTTTTCGGGATTGTCTCATAGTTGAGTTTGTGCTGTTTTTTCAACTTCACCAGCTCTTCAGCTGGCTTGTGCAGAGTCCATATATACTTGGTACAGTAGCGCATGTTTTACCAGCATAGAACGTTATGTGACATAGCCCAGAGAATCCAGATTTGAGCAGCCATATGTGTCTACGTGCATATTGAATTTGGTTCAGTGACACTCTGCATAGCCTAGATTTGCTAAACTAGATTTCATTGAAATAATTGTAACTATGTTATTGACCCCCCAATATTGATAATAATGTGTTGTATCAATACATAGTGCATATTATTTTTTGTACTATAGTACATGCATTGTGCAAACTAATATTAATTTTACATAGATATTCATTGCATTGTAACATTTGTCATGCATTTATTACGCAACTATTTGATATTACAATGTGCAACTTTGATGAGATGTGATTTCATTGAAAATATTTTAGCAATGCAACATTGATGCGATGTGACCATTGATGCGATTGTGAAAATGATGTGAAAAACATGAGACATGAAGCAAAGACTGCAATGTACATGCTATTAACTATGTCCTTGTACCAAGATATAAGCAGCTATATGACATATGTTATTGCATGATTTGGTTCAGTGACACTCTGCATAGCCTAGATTTGCCAAAACGGATGTCACTAAAATCATTTAAATTTTGTCACTAACCCGAATAATATTATTACAATGCCTAGATTTCAGCACTGCCATGACATTGTACCCAGATTTAAGCAGCTATGTGGCATTGTTGTAAGATTTTATTCAGTGACAGTCTGCATAGCCTATATTTGCCAAACCAAATGTCACTAAAATCATTTAAATTATGTCACTGACCCCAATAATATTACTACAATGCCTAGATTTCAGCACTGATGGTTCCATCAATTTGGTTATTTCATACATGATGTGGAAGAGGAGGACTTTCAGTGACTGTTGAGATCAACCCGCAATGGTGGTTAACATCAGGCTAACTATCATACATGTTACATGGCTAAGATCAAATTTTGCTACCGTTTTCTGCAATTTATCTCAACAATTCTTATATATATGTATACCGGGGTATATATATATATATTTATTATAACACTGAAAAGTGTTCAGTACTGATTTCCAAGACATTGTCAAGTGCAATCTTCAAATCATTTGTGTTGTTACTCACGTTTTTTAATATATTTTTTTTGTAGAATAACCTACACTCATCTGCCATTTCAAAGCAAATGGTTGTACATAGGAACAGAGAGAGGCAATATTCATATTGTGAATATAGAATCATTTATTTTATCAGGTTATGTTATCAACTGGAATAAAGCTATAGAATTGTAAGTATACACATGTCATTCTTTATTTCATCTGCTACAATAAAATGCCTGATTTAGGCTAAATGTCTATGTCTGTGTGAAACACTAATGTTTCATGATCCGATTCAAGATGGCTGAATGGCAGCCATTTTAAGGCTTAAAAACTCATGAAAATTACACATTTTTGGAACTCGATCTCAGTTGTGTGTGGACAGATTTAGTTTAAACTTGGTACATACATTGGATACAATGGGACGGACCTTGGTGCACACCATTTTATGTTTTGCATCAAGTTCAAAATGGTCGACTGGTGGCCATTTTGTTTTAAAAAAATGCTGGGCCGATCAAGTTAAACTTCTATCATACATTAATTATAATATCAGACAAACAGTGTGAAATCCAACATGAATGACTGGTGGCCATCTTGTGTAAATGAAGGCCATTTCACAATATCTCACATGCCAGGACCAAAGAAATTTAAACTTCACACATACATCACAATTAAGGTCCTATATTCTGGAAATAGATTCCAATTACTCATTAATACTAAATTGGTCCATACAATGTCAGGGACCTGGAGTTGATCATGTAGTTTTGTTTCTAAATTGGATTTCTAATTCCTGACTGGCTGCCATATTGTTTTATAGAATGCTATACAATAACCATAATTATAACATATGTCTTTTCTGTGCACATTATTCAAATGGATTATGTCATTGACAATGCCTTTTTTTAAAATAGTGCATGTTCATTAGAATACACAAACGGTTATATTGATGTGTTTTAATATTTCTTTCAATGTAGATAAATTAAGAAATGAAGAATTGTTATTGAATGTACGTAAACTAGATTTGCCAATCATCATGTTGATCATCCCTAAGAAATAGTTAATAACACACATCACGCTGTCAAGTCAAATGGCAACGTCAAGTCTAGAAAGCAAACGCCAATTGTTACTTACGATAATTTGTCTTTCACAACGGTAAATACTTGTTCGTTGAGACAATTTAAGACCATCTAATAATGCTTAAGATTAACTATCGCTTTTAACATTTAATTAAAAAAAACACTCCCTATCGTCTGCAGGGCATGGTCTGTTCTATTCAAAAATAAATTCCTATGATGGACCAAAATCTCCTCAACTCTGTCCTTGAGATATAGCCATCAGCAAGCTTTATAACAAACGTGATCAAGGTCATCGCATAGTACGCCATTTGAGGATGTCAGAATTGCTGCTTAAGAATTTTCATCAAATCCCAATGGGACACACCCCTGTTGTGGATCTGTCTAAACTCCCATCACTGCTGTGAAAGCATTTCAAATGCAAAATATTATATATACATATTTACCAGGTATATAAAAAAGGATTAAAATGTTTTTACGTACTGCCTGTTCATCAAAATCAAATAGTGACAGCTGAATCAATACTGATCAATAGTACAGCAGTGAATACTTGGCATAGAAGGGGGATGTTGCATTGTAATGTCATGGTGATGTTAATACCTTTTTCCCTCCTGTATACATGGCTATTTAATAGGTCTGTAAAAGGAACAAATATTCACTGGATTGCAATCTGCAAGTAATATGTGCCAGGTTTTTGAAATTCAAAGTAGGATATCTATAAAGCTCCCTTTGCTTGAATTGAATTTGAATTTCTAAATTACACATTTTAACTGTCTTTGATCTGTATTATTATGCAGCCATTCCTTACAGAAGATTTTTTCAGAGAAATATTCTCATGTCCAAAATAAAAATTGCTGATAATCCCATTTGAACATCATCAAATAAAGTTTTTGTACCAAATTTACTCATTTTTTGAATTGTATACCAATTGGACAGATTAATATTAATTAATATTAATAATCTTGTGTGTGAGATAATACAAAAATATTTACATAACAAGGTTTATGTGTATTAAAATACCTCACAATTGGATTTATGTCATAAATAACACCATTAGTATGAAGTGAATGAATGAATATTATTCAAATCGTATGCACTGATTGTATGGGCCCTCAACGTTCCATAGCCCTAACTCAACTATCTCTTGCATGAGGTTATCGGGAGAATATCGTCAAGTAAGCACAAAGATAGGGAAGTGATCATATCAACCTTCTATTTGTAGAGGTTGGTGGGATCGACTTGAGTGCATAACTTTCACAGTTTGTTGGCATAATTTTCAGAAAATTACCAACCTGAAATCACCTGATGAAAGCCTCCATAGAAGGTTGAAATGAATGGGATAAAGTGTTAATATCACATTAACAATATAAAATACTACTTGTTAACATATTTTATCATCTTTCAGATCTAGGAAGACGCATCCTGGACCAGTAGTGCATCTTAGTGACAATCCAATTGATTCTAATAAGGTAAGATAACATGCTACATTCATTCTCAGTGTGGGTCATGTGAGGTCACATCCCCAGTGCAGGTCATGTGAGGTCACATCCTCAGTGCAGGTCATGTGGTCCACATCCCCAGTGTGGATCATGTGAGTTTACATCCTCACAGCCAGGTCGTGTGAGGTGGCATCCTCACAGCCAGGTTGTGTGAGGTAACATTCTCACAGCCAGGTCGTGTGAGGTCACATCCTCAGTGTGGGTCATGTGAGGTCACATCCCCAGTGCAGGTCATGTGAGGTCACATCCTCAGTGCAGGTCATGTGGTCCACATCCCCAGTGTGGATCATGTGAGTTTACATCCTCACAGCCAGGTCGTGTGAGGTGGCATCCTCACAGCCAGGTTGTGTGAGGTAACATTCTCACAGCCAGGTCGTGTGAGGTCACATCCTCAGTGTGGATCATGTGAGGTCACATCCTCAGTGTGGATCGTGTAAGGTCACATCCTCACAGCCAGGTCATGTGAGGTCACATCCTCACAGCCAGGTCATGTGAGGTCATATCTTCAGTGTGGGTAATGTGAGGTCATTGTTAGAGTCATGTATGGTCATTTCACACAGATCAATTAACTGTACAAATTTGTAATATGTAGTAACAAAGTAACTTGTTTTTTATACATTGTACTGAAGGATTGGGTAACATATTATACTATAATTCTTTCATGAATTGGATCATGAACCACCAAAAAAAAATTAAAGATGTCCACAAAAAATGTGAAATTTTAAGTTATGATCTATGCTCAACAAATTCTCATTCAGAATTTGAATATTCACAAATGAAACTTTGAAATATAAATCTCACTAACAATTTTTTTTTGCCAATGAAGTGGTGGGAATTTATATCCTCGCCTTGGAACAGTGAGAATATGAAAACTGGGACTAATATCTAATCTCACTGAACTGCGAGAAGTCTCAGTTCTCTCTTTTGCCTGCAGTTCTTCCTAATAGTAAGGTATATTATTTACCAATAATTGTTATTAGTTCACTTTGGAATCTGAGAAAAGTCATTGCACTGTCTGATATCCAGTATTTCACTTGTCTTGCAGTTATTAATTGGTTTTGAATCAGGTGCATTAGTATTATGGGACTTGCGAAATAAGCAAGCTGAATACAGATACAGTTGTTCTGCACCTCTTCGATCGGTGTCTTGGAATCATGAAGGAAAACAATTCATGTGTAGTCATACAGATGGCAGTCTTTCACTGTGGCATGTTAGAACAACGACTAAACCGCATAATATTATGTACCCACATGGTAAGTACATATTGGCTGAGATTCATTCAGTATATGACGTTGGGAGGGGGGGGGGGCTTGGATAAAGTCTGTAGGTACTTGCGTTTGACTAATTCTGGTTGTGTATTAAATTGTAATTTGATGGAGAGATTGTCACATAGCCCTGTCGTGTAGTTCAAAACATTGATTTTGTTTAAAAATGCTTTATATGTACCATCAGCAATTGCTCTTACAATAAAGCAAAGTTATGAAATACAACAGTAACGCTCAGCGTGTGAGACTTTTGCCTGGCACAAAACTAATAAAAAAAAATTGAGAACATGTGAAACATGTACAAGTTGCAAACACTGAGGGCGCTCTATATTTTTCAAAGCCTTGTGATATTATATTAGTTTGAAATTTAGTGTACTATATTAACATAATGTTGTTGGACATAGTGTGAAAATTATTACATTAATAATTTAAAAGAGACTTCTTCATAAATAAAGACAGTTGTAAATTATTCTAATTGATATTATATGATATCCTCCTGTTTTTATAACCATAAAGTTTTCAAAATGAATTCAAACTACGGATAAGTTAGCCGTGTCAGTGTTTTAGTCTTATAGTGTCTCATTCACAAAGATAGTTTGTGTTAATTCACCCATTTCCTTTTCAAAACTTTCCTGATTGGGGTAGAGCCGTTAATGTTTTCCTCATTATAGTATTTTGGCTTGCCAATTCAGAGCTTCAGTTGTCTCAAAATTGGCTTAGGAAATTTTGTCATTAATGTCAAGCAGTGTCATTGGACATTTGGAATTATTTGCTGTATTTTGGGTGTAATACAGTAAATTTGACATGAAAACATGTAGGCCCTTTGTCTGAAATGATTGGACATTTTGAAAAAATACTAGCAAATTGCTGAAGTCCAAAGAAAGTATGGATCACTGCACTTTGAAATGCTGTTGAATTTGTCCTCAGATTTTTTAAATTTTTAATGATAGCTTCAGTTCTTCAATTGAAATGTGAATTACTAACAGCAGAGCTATCTCGGCCGATAGGCAGCTTGTTTATGAGTTTATATTTATTTCTGATGTCTATTAACTGACATATATGCATGCCTGATCAGTTTTAAACCTTTACCTCATGAAATTGAATAATGATCACTATAATTTGACAGCTTTTTTTGTAGTGATTGTGAAACTGAAGTTCTTACATCAATATATTACAGTTTAAGCTGTAGCTGTTATTTTTATTTAGTTGCCATAGAAGGCATACTTTTATTGAGTTAAAATGCATCGACATTGAGGTGTGAAAATTACATTATTACTAATGAGACCCCTTCATAAATAAAGGCATTTTGTTAATTGATACTATGTAATATCATTCCTTCAATAACTATAAAGTTTTCAATGAACCTCAAAATGAATATAAACTTCGCCCTCAAATATAGAGAAAGGAATTATTCTAATTGATGTGTAATTTTTTTTTTAATTCATGTGCATCTTCAAGTATATATTGATAGATTTTTGTTTGAAGTTAGAATTAGTCGTATTCATTTGTCGTGCATATCAAATCCTACTTTGGGTTGTAGCTGTACTCTGTTTTGACCGTTTTATAACCGCATGAAAGGTTGTCTGTACTCTTGAATCACAGTCATTGTAAACTGATATAGCAGTATGTAGAACATTCTGGATACTAATAACAATCACTGACATCTAATACATCCTTGTTGAGTACTTCAAAATGTCATCCGCAAATGTTAATCATATTTTGTTTGCTATCAATGTTCTATGCCCTCTTGAAGGTTATCTTTTTGTCGGCTTCTCAAAGTCAGTGACATTTATGGAGTACGGTGTCTTGTATGTAGGAGTGAAGGCGGTATTATTGTATCATTGGGTGTTGCAGCTCGATTATAAAATCATTAGTAATAGTAATTTCAATACAATTATAAATTCAAATAACAGGGTTTAAGTGTGGCATTACCGTTTGTTATTATTTTCATATTTTAGCAAGGCCGCCACTTGTTAAAGGAGCTCGACCAGATCCTTGTACACCTATCAACAAAGTAGAATGGAGGACGTGTAAAGGACAGTAAGTCGTGGATTAGTTAATTTTTCTTCCAATCAAGACATTTATTATAAAGCACTGGAATGCATCATCATTTTCATTTCAATTACTTGATGTGTAATTGATTATAATCTTAACTTTGGCAGAATTTGGTATTGATATCTAAATTAAGATTTCAGGCAACATCAAAAATTCTACTAAAATAGAAAATTATTTAAATTATTTTTCTTATCTTTCTAGGGATCCATATATTATATTTTCTGGTGGACTGTCATATGAGAAAGCAGCAAAACAACCTAGTTTAACAATTATGCAGGGTAAAAATACAACAGTGCTTGAAATGGAACATCCTATTATGGATTTTATGTCTCTGTGTGAAACACCATGGCCAAGTGGTGAGTAATGTACTTGCACAATTTAACATAACATTAGATGTTTTGTGTCAATATTTTGTGGTATCTGAGCTTTTGTTGGTTACCTGCTCATGTACATCTTAACAAGTCAAATAGGAGATCTCATTCGTATGATCACTTTGGGTAAATTACTCAACTGTTCAAAGAACATTTTACTTCTAGAATACATCACAACACTTTGTTTGAAACGCGCATTCTGAATGATCTTTACTGAACCAATCAAAAAACGTTTTACTTCTAGGATGTACCGCAATACTTTGTTGTTGAAACGTGCATTCTGAGTGATCTTTACTCAACCAATCAAAAAAAAACGTTTTACTGCTAGGATGTACCGCAATACTTTGTTGTTGAAACACGCATTCTGAATGATCTTTACTGAACCAATCAAAAACCGTTTTACTGCTAGGATGTACCACATCACTTTGTTTGAAACACGCATTCTGAGTGATCTTTACTCAACCAATCAAAAAACGTTTTACTGCTAGGATGTACCACAACACTTTGTTGTTGAAACACATCTTCTGAGTGGACATATTATACTCAAAAACAAAAATATTAGATCTTATTTTAATCAGATTAGTCTATACATGAAACACATAAATAGTGTTCAGTTGGTCACATAATTATTCTAGTATTATTATACCAGTATTTCATTTGCCTGAATATGTTGTTCTGATTGGTCAGGAGTTCTTGGCAGTAGTTATTCCTTCAATATTGTTGATTGGTTTATTGTGATAGATCTTAATTTTCATCGTACGCCATCATCTGGGGAAAATTCGCCTTAAAGGAATTATTATTTTTCACTTTTAATTCAACATGTAGCTGCAAATACATTGAGGGAGTTCAGTTTGAAATAATGAATTTTAAATATCTAATTAATTTTTTTGTTCATTTCAGACATTCATGAGCCGTATGCTATTGTCGTATTGTTAGAAAATGATATGGTTGTGGTTGATTTGAATTCACCTGGGTAAGATATATTACTATTCATCTGTGGAGTGATAAGGTGATACTCGCATGCACTTGCATCAATCAATACAATGATTGATTTCTCTTTGATTGATATCTTTCTACTGTGTGATGAATCAGCTGCAAGAAGCAGTGGACTATTTTTTTTGAAATATATGATAAAAGTTGTAATAGACGTGATAGAAGTCAAATAATGGTTACCTTGCATAAGGAAAGTAGCAAATTCTCACCTTCGTTTTGTCTGCATACTCAGCAGTGGAGAAGGAGAACTTATTAAGCTTGTGGTGTTCTAGCAATGTGTAAAATAGTCATTTCTGTCTTTCTCTCATGAAAAAAAAAATATTGCATCCTATTTAAAAAAAATGGCATGTTACAGGGAAGAATATATTGTATATTTTTCTTACAGCTACCCATGTTTTGAAAATCCTTATCCAATGGACCTTCATGAATCTCCAGTTACTTGTGTGCAATATTATGCTGATTGTCCGCCAGATATCATACCTGCTCTTTATTCGGTGGGGTCAAGTAGCCAACAAAAGAAGAGAATGGGCTATAGTAAAAAGGTTAGTGGTCATTTTTTTTTTTTTTTTTTTTTCACCTATGTCAACTAGATTAATGGCCGGCAGCTTGCCTGCACGGGAGTTTGAACAGACTGCATCTTTTCAAACTCCAAGCGTGCATGCATCAACAGATTGTAGCTTGCTTTAACTTATTTGCAGACTACCTAACTACACGTGCATCACCAGGTTGTAATTTGTCTATTAAAATGCACACATACATCAACAGGTTGCAATTTGCCTATCTGAAGACTTACAACTTGAAACAACTGACTGCAGCATGTTAGCATATTGTACATGAGTTTAAAAAAAAAAAAATCAAATAATTTAGCTATTACTTGTGTTTGTAATTAAGATTTTAAACTATTATTAATTTATTTGTAAGGAATGGCCAGTGAAAGGAGGAGAATGGGGAACGGGAGGTAATAGCTATCCTGAAATTATTATAACCGGGTAAGTCAAGCAAATATTGTATGCATTATTAAACCAAAAACATAACAGAAAACTGATGACTGATGATTCTGATTTCAGCCTCAACATCTGAAGCTGACATGGAATATGATGTAACAGTGACGTCTATTGACACCCTCCACGATTACTTCATTAATTGTCTTTTGTGGTGAGATACTGGTATTCTCCCTTTTAACCTCAAACATGTAACTCATAAAGAAACGCCTGTTAGCAAACTAGAGACAGTATCACATGTCAGATTGTTCTGGCTTTAATTGCGTTGTCCCTTGTACTTTAATTACATTATAATTATAGATGCAAAACTTTGTGAATCTTCATCAGAGGTAAACCAAGTCACAAACATGATACTGTGAAATACTTTATTTTAGCTGGAATTAATTTTTACTGGAAAGACTTTTCGGGTGTTTTGTATGAATTTATTTTCACTGATTCCTGACGAGTTGAATTTTAATTATAGGAAAAAAAGTATATTCACTGGATTTTATTTTCACTGAATCATCCCTTCAGCGAAAATAGCGAAAATTAATTCCAAGCGAAAATAAAGCAATTTACAGTATATAAGTTAGCGTATTCGCAATGTATCGTGGGAGGTGTGAATTTGTTTCCTCAGCACACTGCTCACTCAATAGTATACACACAGTATTATATTTGAAAGAATGGTGTAATATTGGATGGGGATGATAACAACTGTCATTTTCATTGGATTGTTACATTTTCCTTGTGTTTCAGGAGCTGGAGTTCCAGATCTGTAATCAAACTATTTTACACATGTTAATCTGATGAGCAAATAAATAATTCAAATCATTTAAAAACTTCTGACCTCCATTCTGTATTCTTTCACCAGACATGCTGATGGTTCTTTGAAATTCTGGGATGCATCTGCAGGTATGTAACATTCCTAAACAAATTATGTTAATTGAGACAGTTTAATATTTCATTTTGATGCTTTACAAGAAGAGTGTCTCAATGAGTGTTGTTGAGATTGTTATAGCGCCCTCTGTGTCATTTTTGAGAGGACAATTTCTTTTTTTCTTTCGTTTTTTAGGGGGTAGGGGTAAATTATGCATGTCACACTGTTCTGTTTCATACAGTGTGATCAATATTACACTCGTGATCAGTTTTGTTTTATGTTCAGCTCTAAGAGATTACACATGATTTGTCAATCTTTGTTTTTTTGTTCTTGAATGATCTCTGATGGCTTCAAAATTAATCTTAAATCCATAACCATTGGTAATGTTTTGTTGTTAATATTAATCTGGATACGCATATTAACTTTGCTCAACTAGTTTTCACCACACTTCTTACCATCTCTCAATCTCAATTTGTGTTATCATTATATTTTTAGTGACGCTACAAGTCTTGTACAAACTGAAGACTGCCAAAGTTTTTGAGAAGAAGGGGAAGAGTGTAGATGGGGAAGAAGACCCATATGCAATTCAAATAATAAATATGTGTTTAGATAGTAGACTATTTTGTGTTGCTGGTGCTAGTGGACATGTAATTTTATTCAGATATAGTAAACAAGAAGCACAACTTGAACAACTAACTGTGAGTATCTTGTACACTCTTCTATTTCTTGCATTAATATTAGATTGTATCGCTGGCAGTTTTTAATTCAGGACGTGTCTGGATTCACTCATAAAGTAATCCATTAAACCAAGGCTATGGGTTTTTAAAAGATGGCTTCCAGATTCAGTATGCAAATCCGCACTGCTTGGAGTGTTTCTCAAATTGATATTTTTTGACAAACCAAATTATTTTTCTGTTCATTCAATAATGAATATATTGCATAGAATACTATTTTGATGTTGGTTTTTTAGTTGCGCAAGATTGAAATATAATTCTTCATTTAAAAAAATATATAATAATAAAAATTGCTGTCAATCTTTGGTTTATGTGAATCAAAGTGTTTATTGAAACTGTCAGTGACAATAAATATGTATTTCAAGCCAGGAAATGGTGTACTTAATGTTAGCACACAGGATTCACACCTGCAGTAACATTTCTATACATACGGTAGTAAAGAATAGGCCAGCCATTCAAATTACATTTTCTTACATGCACTGGTGCTATTCCAGGGATTTTGCAGAGCCTTATTTTATCAACCAAAATCTTAAATTTATTCTATGATTATCTAGGGAAAACGTGAAAACCACTTATGAATATCTCAAACTTCTTTCTCAAGATATGAGACAATTGACAGAAAAGGATGTTTACTTGTTTATTTCATGTTTAAAAAAAAATGTTTTAACATGTTTATTATTATTTCTTAATTGTTTGTTTGTTTGTTCATTTATTTGTTATTCGTTTGTTGATGCAATTAATTTTGAAAGGTGAAACGTAGAAATGAGAGAAAAGAAGGGATAACAGTAAGAAACAAATTTCCTTTGCATGAAACAGTGCAAGATTTATTGTAGACTTAGATTTATAATTTATTTAATTTAATACTATTTAATTTAATACATTGTACCCTCATAATTTGTATAATGATACACAAAAAATAACTACACTATACTCTTAAATGGGATTGTTTCACTATCTGATGAAAAAAACATTATGGGCGATATAATCATTCAAGTTCGCTTTTGTGTGAATTAATGTTTCTTACAATCATATGAATTAATGTTTCCTAGAATCTCCATATAATGTACCTTCCTTAGTGTATACATGAAATTAAACATTAATTTTTGGTAGTCGGCAACTAAACATGGTTGATTGGCTTAAAGCGCCACAGATGTTGCACCGTGTCATGTCAGAGCACACTATGGCGTCTGCGTTTTTTAATTATTTAATAATCGGGAGGGGTCTATAAATCTATAACATCGGTCCATCAAATACTTGAATGTGAATTATCTAGTGGTGATTCATAAATTTTAACAGCATAATTACATCAATTTTGTCTTTCTCCATTTTCGTTTCTAGTCCATTGAGATTTCTATTGTGTACGAAGCAGAAGAACTGGAATCTCCCGACTGTGAATTGCCACCTACTCCAATTGGACGGAATGCTAGTACTAGTAGCTCCAGTACTGCTCCACATATGAGCAGTAGCTCTGGAGAAGGAGTCAAAGATAATGTTACAAATATTAAAGTGAGATCAGGGGGAGTTAAGTTTCCTCCCGGCTACCAACCTGATGTCATCTGTCAGTTTGTATGGATGGATGGGGAGCCGCCGCCGACTGTCACCTCACTTGAGTGCAATTCAGCGTATGGTCTGTAAGTCAATTTTGTAGCTCATTTATTTTGTGTTCTTTCTGTGATATGACATACATATAAAAGATGATAGCATGCAAATAAATAGTCATAAAATTTGTGATAGACCAATACAATTTGGTACCCAAGTGTGTATAGTGAATTAACTTTATTCCACAATTGTACTATATTGACGACACTCGTGTGCTTATTGCAATTTTGTTTATTAGCCAAGTAAGCATTTTTTGTCTGAAAAATTATTCTCTGGAAATATCTATGAATTAAGCTAAAGTAAAATATGTTTGCTAAATGGATAACAAGTTTTTCCTATCAAAAACGCAGACGTTAACAAATCATTTCTTAAATGTAATTTATGAGCCATTTTAAAAATAAAACCGTAAATAAAACAATGAACATTTCTTACATCAACTGTTCTTGAAATATCTAAACTCAAACATTTTGAGTTTACCAGATGTCAAATTTTATTACAGAAGAAGTCTTAGTGTACTAAATACTGTGTATTTTATTTATTTATGAGTTATCAATACATTATTGTTTTTCTTATTAGCATGGCAATTGGTACAGCTAATGGTATAGCAATAGTGGATTTTATACAAAAAACATGTCTACTCAATATGGGGACACCCGATCTGTATGGATCGGCTGATCCCTACCAGAGAACACCACGCTCGCCAAAGCGAAATAAACCACAGGGCTTAGGAGATATAGTTGAGCAAGGAATGACAGAACCTGAGAGGTGTCGGTCACCGCCGGGTAATTCAGGTAATTCTGATCAGGTAAGTCATAATATCTACTTTACAAGTGGGAAATGAAGTATTTCTTAATAAATTTTTTTGCATAATAAATATCTAATTTGCATAGTTTTTACCCAAAACTTTTTTATTGATACTTCAAAAACTGAGTTGATTTTAATGTCATTAATACAAAACTAGTACATTATAGTAAAAAGTCAAAACAGTAAATAAAGATTCATGTACTTCGTGATAATCATAAAGTGATATTATATTGTACTATGGCTTGTACAATCTACTCTATTATGCTCAAAGGGTAATTTTTCATTGACTCAATAATTGAAGGTATTGAACTTTATTACTGTGCACTTGGCTTATGCTTGGCTGCTTCAAGACACAAGATACATGACACTTTTGCTTTCTATTTTCAAATGTGGTCATATGAAGCCCAAATTTCCAGCCAGCTCACAATATTATTCCCACTATACAGGCTTGTAGTATGTTTGCTTTTATTTGTATCTTATATGTTTTATGTCATATATTTTGCAGCAAAACGGTGTTTGTCTGAGTCCCACTAGTAATAATTCCAAGAAAGAGAAGCGGCCAAATGACGCACAGCTAAAGAGGAGTAAGTCACAAGGAACACGAAAGTTACTAAAAAAGGGCGAATCAACTGCATCTGAAGGTGGTAATGGCGAAGGTATCGACGTGGGATGCATGGGTGGATTTATGAGTCAGTAGTTACCAAATTCACAAATATCTCAATATTGTGTGTTCTAACGCATTATCTGGGCAGCTCTGTCATCACATTTTTCCTTGCATATAACCAAACATACACTTTCTTGGTAGTGCATGATTGTGTAGAAGACCCGTCTTGAAGTATAAAACATGTACTTTAATAATGCAAGTGTCATTCATTACGTTAACTGTGACATTACTGTCATACATCCCCCCCAAATTGAAGACACAGACTTGCATGTTTTTTTATAATAATGAAGGAATTTTTTGATTACTTAATTAAAATTACCACCAATTATATAAACTTAAATAAAATTTAAAATCAATTCCATGAATTTGCATGAAATTTTTTTGGATTTTAATTCTTATGTAAAGAATAAATGTTTATATAAAGAATAAACTTTTTATTATTTTCTCAATTTATTTTTAATACAATTATTTCAATAAATGCATTAATTTCTATATATATTTCACAAAATAGGTTGCCCATTTTTTCCAATAAATGTTGATTAATACCTGCAGGCAATGACAATTGCACTGCAGAATACTAGAAAAAATAAATAAATAAATAAAGCAAATGGTTGAATGAAAAAAAAACATCAAAATTTGCCAGACGGGACTATGTAGGGATGTGTTGATCTTCTTTGAGAGACTTATCTAGTTTTTCTACCCTTTAGGGAAAAATGACTCGGATAAAAAAACAAAAAAACAAATACAGTTGTATGTTGTAATCTAACTGATATTTTCACTATTTCAATTGACTACCGGTATTTCAACCAATTATTTAGAAATATTAACTGTTACAGTTCGACTGATTGTAAGCTGATACTTTTATGTTCGATGGTATAATTATTCACAAAGTACAGGAAATATGCCCTAAAATGTTCTAATTTCACTGATTTTTCAGCACATTCAAATGTTGACAATTATTTCTTATTCAAATGTTTACCTTTCTTTTTATGCCTGGAACATTTTCAATAATTGTAGCTTAATTATACCAACAAACATGTAAGATCATCTCAAAATCCCTATAAACCTGGAAGTATGAACATACTGCTATAATCTATGAGCCATCAGTAGATATTTACAACAGATACATTTAAACTTGAACACCATACTAGAGACTAATTGAGACTAAGACTAAATGAGCATAAATCATTGTATTTTAGATCAGTCTTTGTGAAACTTTGTTCTCATTACCACATTTTTACATCAAATCCTGAATTTGTTTGCAGAGGAAAATTTAAGAATTTACAAATTTAAAGGTCCACATTATTGTTAGTATTAAAGACAATCAACAGAAGTATGCCTTAAACAATGGGATTAAAAGTCACTTTCAGGGGTGGGGTGGTGTGGGGGGGGGTAGGGTTTCCATGAAAGCTTTGATTGTCTCTATTTGTATTGCAAGCAACAACTTGGCACAATAAACCAATCCAGCTGCTTTATTTATGTATTTAAAATGTGATTGCTCGCTATGCGAGTAGAGTTGCCCAGATATGCAAGTGGAAACTATTTCAAGTGTATGATGCACTATCACTTTATGCACTTTTGACATGTCTTCTCATTGTTGCTTTTGTATAATTTTGGAATTGTTAACTGTTTATATTAATTGACCATATATCATTCTATATGTGTCTTTGATGTACGGTAGCCACTGACTTGCTTATGGCTTACTTTTATGGTTTTATTATTATTATTTTCCTCCCTGGTGTTTTTTTTGCTGTATTTGTTTGGTGGGCTGTTGTAACCTTCGCTATTGCTTATTATTAACTAAAAAGCATGATTATAATCTTATGAAAAGTAACTCTACAATAAGTCATGAGGTTTTTATTATCAGAAAAAAACTTCTTACACAGTAGGACATGTGAACAAATTACATATTCATGCAACTGTGTTGAAAAAATATTGCAAATATTGTGTTCTTAAGTTGATGTTCATTATCATGTATATATATATATAATATCAAAATGAGTTGATAAACAGCCATTGATCTTGGAAAGCTTTTTAGATCTGATAAAAAAGAAAGATTTATGTACATCAACTTAATATGAACCCTTGCACTGTGTTTCACATGTCATGTGTTAGCATGTTATATATTAAAGACCAGACATGTGTACATAATTACCTACATTTGATTATTCATTGCATTTTAATATACACATGGTAGTTATCAGACTGGGCGAGATTGATGCTGGAACTGATGATGCATGTATTAGCCCAAAACTTTGTTATGCGCTACACTATACTCCAGTGTGACTGCTTCCATTCCAAAAAATAGTTAAATTTGTGTAATATTTGTACTGCAAAACTCCATCAGAAATGCGTGTTACAAACACCTGAATTGGGTGACCATATTTGGAATATGGCAGCTACAGGTTCACATGTTTTCTGTATTTCATTTTTCAATTTACAGGACATAATAGCTCATATCAGCAATGTCTCCATTGAAAGATTGAAGCAAGGTGCATTGTTACAGGGAAATCAGCTGCCTGATCAATTTAACCATTCAAGTTGAAACCACTGTAATAAATGCACCGTCCCATTACAAATCACAAACATATGTTTGACACATAATTCAACCAGTAAAGTGGACTCATTAATTTTGTGAAAATGTGTGAATGATAAGGGAAACATGCTGAAGTCTAGTGTAGCATCAGCGATGACACATAACACAAGTCTTGGGTATATATAGGGTATGGGTATTTGCCAAACTATAATATAGAAAACAAATTAGGATATTCTCGGTAGAATTTAATTGATAGATAGATTCATGACATCTTCACTTCATGTTTGTATACTAGTTAATTTAATACATTCATGATAACATTGTACTTGTATTATTTGTACCTATACTCACAGTGATAAGCTTCATGCATTTATTGTGTTATGTATCATATGTGCGTGTATGTATTGTGTGTGCATATCATATGTTTGTTTATGTACTAGTATGTATGTGTGTGTGTGTGTGTGTGTGTGTGTGCATCTCTTTGTTTATTCATTTGTTTATATATTAATAAACTAACAGAAATATGTTTCATTCTTTCTGCTGTAAGCCTTCCTACATTGCTTACTTTTTTGAATATATGGTTTTTTCCCCAACCCAACCCCTACTCCATTGATCTTGATGATGAAACCATATTTTGCACTTTCTTCTCAATAATAGATGTGATCTTGTTGCATTGATGTTTTTTTTTTGTTGGTTTTTGATTTTTTTTGTGCGTGTGTGATTGTTTAGCGTTATTTATTTGGCTGTAGTTGTCATGGTGAACTTGTTCTCTAGTCTATCCTATATTGACATTCTTTTTGTTTACTCGTCACCAAGACACAGACGGAGCGAGTAGATGCTCATCTCTTTTAACACCTGGTAAATAGACATTATATGCCCATGTAAAAATTTCCTTTTTCTAATCAATTTTTTTCTATACTTTGCACCCTTTCTCCATACTCTTTCTCTCTTACTATGTGTCAGGTTTAGCCGTTATTCATTGATGGCTGTTTTCCTATATTATTTCACTAATAAAATATGTATGTGTATACATGTATATTTCTGATATTGGGAAAACTGTTCGAAAAGAACAGCCAATGTTGCTTGTAACTGCACTCAAAGTCACACACAAACAGCATGTTATGTTATGTTTCTTCATAAGTTTCACCCTTGCTCGTTTCATGTTATGCCCGCATTTGGGTACACTTTATTATACACTCTTGGCAGTTTCATCTTGCTAGGGTTCAATTTCAACTTTCACAAATTCTATACTACATTTCAGCATTTTTCAAACTATTTTACACTTTCACTTTCGTATAAATTCTCTGCGTACTTGAAAATGCCAGTCAGCAGATTTGTTTGACGTTTGTTTCCATCCTTAGACCGAGGAGAAGGATCATTTACCAGGTCGCGGAGTTCAAGTATGTCTAGTCTTGAGAGGGAAAGCAAGGAAGCTATTAATTGCTTGGCATTTGCTGAGTCATACACAACCAAAACAGGTAATTCAATAGCTATTGAGGTTTTGGGTTTTATAACTTCATCTGTATGTAGGTTTATTTTAGATCACAGTGGTTAGATATTTTAGCGTTAAACATGCACTGTTGTAAGAAATGGGTATGTGCACTGTACTATGAGGTTATTATAAAGATACCAAAAATTATGCACGAAAACAGTACAGCGGAAGTATCGACCAACATGGCGGCATACTGTCTGAGTGCATACTTTTGCGGTATCCTCGTAATAACCTTATTACTATACATCTTTTCGTCCCAATGATACATCATGGGAATGCCGAAATCCAAAAAGTTTATAATAGAATGAGTGAACTTCTTTGTGTGGAGTCCAGTCAAATCCTGTTGGCACCCTTGTTTTTAGCTCCGCTGTCGACTTTGTCTAGCGGAGCTTATCATATGAGTGATTGTCCTCCGTCATCCGTCGTCGTCCGTGTCAATGTTTTACTTTTTTGACTTCTTCTTGAAAACTACATGCCTGAATGCTTTGATACTTGGTGTATATGTACCTTGGGTGGACCTCTCTCAGATTTGTTCATTTTGTAATGATATTTTCAATTCTCTAATTTTGGTGAATATTTTTGTCATTTTTGGTAGAAAGTGATATTTTCGGCTTCTTGTTAAAAACTGTAAGTCCGATTGCTTTGATACTATACATATTGTTCATTTTCTAATGATGTCTTCAGTTCTTTAATTGAAATGTGCATTGCTAACAGCGGAGCTATCTCAGCCGATAGGCTGCTTGTTATTATTAGAGGACGCTTACTCGCGAAATCATTCCATTTATGGAATTCGCAAAATTACTAATAATTAAAAAATAATATGCTTTATACATATTTTATACTATGCACTGCTATATATGCAGTCTATTCAAATGCAATAAGCAAAATGTTGCACTGTACTGTAAATGTTCGTCATCATATGAGCCCTCCCTCTGCATTTGCACAGTTCATCAATCTCCTGACATGTTTTGTTTATTCTTGCCATCTAGATCTGATAACAGTACCTTGCCTATGGGTAGGTACCAGCCTTGGTTCTGTGCTTGTTATTGTAATTACATTGCCATCATCTTGTGAACAAAGGCCAAGCGAACCAGTTATTGTCTCGCCCAGTGGTAAGTAAAATATAGTAGCAACCTCTAATCTCACAAACTGAATTTCGCGAAAGATTCTGTATTCCATGTTTTGGATGACTGTGCTGTAATCTTCCCATTATAATCTCATTATTGCACTTTACTGTCTGGGTAACAACTGCACCTAGAGCATTAAACGACAGTAAGAACAAAAGTAATATACTCCAGTGCTTATTGTAATAAATATTGAATTTGTGTAGATTTTTTTACTCTAAGTTGTTGTAAATTTTTGTGCTGTTAGTGATTGATATGTTGCAGCTAAAATGAATTGTCGCATCTGTAGTTACCAAAATTACAGGCACATTACAAAGATTTAAACATTTGGCAATGCCTTGCCACTATAAGCAAAGGTACTGCAAACTATTTAATATGCTTTGTTGGCTTGATTGAACCTGTAACTATATATCCACTGTATTCACTTCTTATACACTTGTGATGGTAATTTTTTTTTTGTCAGGTACTGTACTTCGATTGAAGGGTGCTATATTATGTATGTCTTTCTTGGATTTTACTGGTAATGTGTTACCGCTTCAGAGTGAACCTTGGAGGGAAATGAACCCCAAAGAAACTCCCAAGGAAAAAACAAGTAAGTTTCTTCCTTATTTTAACAGGGTGCTTCACCCCAATTGGATAAGTATTTCTGGAGTTGGTGTAATTTATATAAAAAGTCATTTATTTGTATTCATTCTCAGATGGATTATGGAAATAACTTTCAAAGAAAATACAAAATTTCATATTTAGTTAGTGTTTTTAATATGAAAAAAAAAATGAATCAATTTTGTTGGAAGAGGTGAGCACTGAGAGAAAACATTGCGCAAAATTAAAAAAAATTCACCCATTGTCACTATTGCTTTGTAGAACGTGACATACCAGCGAGACCTAAGATGTCACCATCCTCATCTACAGAAATTGTAGACAGGCAATTTGTGGTGATATGCTCAGAAAAACAAGCTAAGGTAAGACTTTTACCAGCATGCATTTAAAGATGAATGTGGCTAACTAGTATAACAAACATATATTTAAAATCACAACAAATCCTTTGTTTTGCTGAATGTTTTATCAAATAAATAACAAAAAGCAAATATAAATGCAGTAGGGTGCGCTGAACAATTTTCCGTTCAAACAATCACGTTGTAATCTACGTTTGTATAGCGTGAAGCTATTTTATATTTAAAAATAGGCAAAATGTGTCTTTCGAAAACTAGTTTGAGTATACCCCATGTGTTTTCTTAAAAAATTCAAACAGCCAATCACGAAGAATAGTTAAGCAAATTTTCATAAAATTCTTTTCCCAAAATTGTGTTAGCTGCAACTCCCCAACCCAAAAGAGTGGTAAAATAATAGATTTGCAGTGTGAAAGATAAACATAACAGGAAAGAAACCGTGTTTGCGACTTTCTTGTTGTAAACTAAAGAAAAATAACAACACAAACAAAATGTCATTGGCTTTCCATGATAATGAAAAAAGAAAAATAGCCAAAAACATTTCTGTTTAATATTGTTTTTCGATACCTCATGCTATAGATCAAATCAAATTATGATTTATCATAAACTAAAAATGTTGCATTTGCAGAACACACAACATTATTTTTTAGATGAATAATCAATAACTCTAATACGCATGTGCAGTGATTGTTATTGTACGTAGCAAAACAACCAATGCACATGGGTATTATAGAATTTTATTTTTTCATCAAACGAAAACTTGGATCTGCTCCACAAGAATTCCATGATAAATTGTTGTTCAATAATTTTATCAACATACAGTATCAAACAGCAAATTACATGTTTTCATCATTATTGCATAATTTACAAACTCACCACATCACGTTCCTTAGTCAATCATTTAATAATAATAAATGTTTTTGTGTTTTAATGCATATGTAATTTTTTTTTGGGGGGGGGGGCTGTAAAAGGGGTTTGCCCATTGATCTGTGTATGTAATAAAAAAATATAATCTCTTCCATGCCAAATAAAATAATGCATTAATGGGTCCCATGTTACATATACCTATTCATTGCTTGTTAACACACACTACTTGAGTTTTAAGTTGGGTATGTGTAAAACACATTGTAGTTGGTGTGACAACTTTGAAACCACTTGGTTCTGCTATAATAGCCAGTTTGTAGATTGGTGCCCAATTCAAACTGACAGTTGATATTGTTTTATTACCAGGTGATCTCATTGCCATCTCAGACATGTGCCTACAGAGTTAAAGTTACGGAAACTTCATATGCGCTTAAATCTGACGTTATCAGTATGCCGACCAAGTCATCAGGAAGAGGTAAGTAATTGTAATCAGTGGAGACATGAAGTATTCTCTATTAATTGGAGCATAACAAATAATCAAAAAAGCACATGGTATGCAAGAAGACCATCTGTTTCGTCTTATGACATTATTGCTAGCAAATTTCACAATATTTAGCCCCCGCCGGATCTGCGATCCGGGCGGGGGATATTAATTTGGGTTGTGTCTGTGCAATGTGCGTGCACATTTTCATGTTACCAGCTTTTTCTCGCACATGTGTGATCCAATTAAGTTCAGAGTTGGTACAGAGACAGAAATTGATGGTGCTATGGTGCACATCAAGTTATTTTTTCGATTCTTCAAAGTTTCACTGTGTTTTTCCTTGATTTTTAACATTTTTCCTTCAAAATCCGACTTTTCCCGAAATTACCTGAGTTTAATCCGAGTTTTGATGACGCTTACGCAGTTCTCGTCTCGGTGGAAATCAGTCAATTTTGTGAGGATATTGTATCCCGGAATCTTTATTTGCGCAACGCTTCTATGGACAAAATTGTGTCTCGTCAATTTCAAAGGTAAGAAACTGTGCTTGTTATGGTATTTATACACTTTGTATTATCGTTTGTGTCTCCGGTTTGGTGATCGTGAGAAACTATTGCTAACCTGGTGAGAGTTTCGCCAGAAAAACTGCCTTTTTATTATGGTTGTAGGAACTGATTATGTATTGTGTAAATTGAAAGTTTACCTCGTGACTTAAGAGGTTTGCAGTGCTCTCACCGGGATTCAAACGTCGTGGTGGTGTCGGCGCAATGCTGCTCTGAGACGCTTGCCAGACTCTGCCTCGCTCAAAATCATTATCGCCATGCTTGATTTCCGCAACATTTACATTTGTTTATGATTTCCACAGCTATTGTTCTATGAGATGCGTCCTCGCTGTTCATAAACAGCCATAAACAAGTTTAGTTGGGTCGGCATGTACTCATTGAAAGTGTTGGTTTATTTACGTAATCCACTGATCACGCAATAGACGAAGTTAAAAATATGTCGCTACTCAGGAGAGCTTGCCCACAACGCTAAATGTCCCAATATAAACGTACCGGTACGTTTATTTTTTCCACAGAAAAATTCCATCCGGCACATTTCTATTTGGGACGGTACGTTTATTTATTTTTCTAAATCCGATTAAAAAAATCCTGCCTTTTTTTTCCCCATGAGAAACGAAGCCAAAAGATCGCACTAAAACATCGGTAAATCTGGTCTTTCGTGTTGCTTTCACCATGAGGTCTAAATGTCCCAATATAAACGTACCGGTACGTTTATTTTTTCCACAGAAAAATTCCATCCGGCACATTTTTATTTGGGACGGTACGTTTATTTATTTTTCTAAATCCGATTAAAAAAATCCTGCCTTTTTCCCCCATGAGAAACGAAGCCAAAAGATCGCACTAAAACATCGGTAAATCTGGTCTTTCGTGTTGCTTTCACCATGAGATCGCTGAACTGTCATATTTAAATGCTTTATGGTAATTTGAGCACATGGGCACCATCCAGCATTTTGATTGGTTGATTAGCGACTTGACCTATCTGGTCATTATAAACACGCGTCGTGGGCATGGATAACATGGCGGATATTGTCTCATCGAGCGTTAACATGTAACCGAAAACATTTGCTTACGATAAAACTAAGTTGAATTTTACTTGCATTTCATAACAATTCAACGAATTTATTTTTTGTACGTTAATATAATCACTACTGAGTACTAATCAACAATTACAACACTTCGAAAACAAGTAAGCTACCGTACCGTGCTACCAACAAAAAAATAATGCATAATGAATATAGTGAATATTTGTTGTTGTCATGTGAACAGTTTTTTTGATTGACTGTAATTTTCCAACATTCCATGACGTCTATTGTAGCACCAAATTAGGGCTTTTCACTCCTCCTTGACGCCTATTTAAACGATTAGACGGGATCTTGTCGCCAGCCACGAATGTCACACTAGACAAACTTGATCGATACTGCCGACTATTCCATGCATTTTTTTATCGACGCACGACGACACGCAAATCGAGAAAAGTATTGTCCTTGCAACAATTTTGCGCAATACGTCACCACTATACAGTGACTGATTTTAATTTTTATTCAACATTAAAACAAACTACAGTGAGTTGTTCTATGGTCGTATAAAAATAAAATGAACTACATTAAGATACAGTAAAGTTAACCAACTAAACAGAATGCTAAATAAAGCTAAATAATATTACAAACACATATAGAATCACAATAAACTTGTACGATACAGTACAATACAATACTCTAACTACTATTGCTAAGGAGTGGAAAATCACATTCACATTAGAGTCATAACTATGGAAAGAATATTTTTATATTTGGTGGAGCTGCTCATATATCATGAGCATACATTTTTGTATGTACTGTGCAGTTTCCCAGCCAGTCAGACTACTTCGCTACTTCGCTACTTCATTACATCTTGCAGCCTTTCAAACAGTATATTGCTAGAAATGCATCAATTGTTGTCCATGTATATTCCTAATTGCTCAGTGAAAACTTGCAATTTCTTTCTGGCTGGTATAAATATATTAAGTAATATATTTTCGTACTGAAAAGACAGTACAAAAATATCTTTTTTAATTAAATTTAACAGCTAATGGGAGCATATATGCTACAATCTCTGCTTACTTTTGACTAAAATGTTTTTTTGTTTTTTTCAGGTGCAGAGCCAGATTTTTTTCTCGGAAAAGCAAAGCCACTGAAACTGCATATACAATTGTATTACAAAAGCATACTATTCGCTGCATGTCTGACCAATTGTATAAAGTTTTGCAGGTCGTCTTTTTTTTTTTTTGA